CGCGTCACCAAGCCGCCCGCCCCCGCCGCACGCGTGGCCGGAACACGCGCGTGCCCTGCACGCGGACGCGCTCTGGGATGGTGACGGCGGACCAGCGCCCGGTCCCCTCGCCCGTTCGCTGAGGTTCCCCCAACCTCGCCCGCGCGCCCTGGCAGAGCTCTCTGCTTATGAGGCTGCGGCTGCTCCCCCTAAGATAGCAGCTGGGAAACTGAGCCACAGGCAGCAGCCAAGCCCCTCCTGCGCACGCCCCTTCTGGGTTGGGGCCTCAGCGCCCACACCACCTCCTAGGGGAAGCCTCCCCGGACCACCCCACCGCCTGTGAATCCCCAGGCCAGGGCTCCCGGAAAGCTCCTGCCTGTCAGACATGCTGGTCCATCCGCAGTTGTGCAGCAAAAGGCAACCAGGGCCCCACCAATGGGCGCCGAGGCTAACGGCAATTAGCCAAGGCTGGAGGAGGCTCCTGCAGGCTCTTTCCACACCAACCCCAGCACACACCTTGGGCTGGAGGCCCCTGATGGCCCCTGCAGCCACAGGGGGGCGGGGAGGGGGGGAGGAAAACCCGAGGATATTGGGGCAGAGTCTGCAAAGGACAAAGCTGCAGCTGAGATAGGAAGGGGCCCTATTTCCTGGGGAGGGCAGGTAGACCCCTTCAACAACAAAGGTTACAGACTAGGGATGTTACCACAGTAAGCCCCTTAAAGGATCACTCAGAAACCCAATGTCATGGAGCCATCAATCCTGACAGCTTGGCCTCAGGATAGAGGCCCAACAAACAAGAACCACACCTCAGCAGCTGGGAGGGTAGCAGGACGGCGGAGTCTGACCCCAGGCCGTTGTGGGTCAGGCCTGAGCATCCCTGCAGGGTAGGTAGCTCCCCCCATTTCCTAGGAACAGCACTTCAGTGTGCTGGGAGAGACCCTGGTATGGAAGGGGGTGTATTGCACGGAATGACTAACGGCAGGTGGGGCACCTGTCTGGGTAACTAGGGTCTTCCGTCCAGTCCCACCCTGGGCTGTCTCTGCTCTAGGTCCCAGAACACTGGCCAAGTACCTGGGACAGAAGGTATTGAAAAATAACAAGTACAGCCCCCTCTTCACCTTAGGCTGGGGTCTCTTGCTGTCCCCCACCTAGTGAGAGTGAGAAGCCTCTGGTCAGGGTGTGAGAACAGGGCAGCTCCCCACACCAGGAGGGCATTTTGGCACACCCAGTCCCACCTCAGAGTCCTAGATCTTCCCTACAGCTCAAGCAGGCTGCCAGGATGGAGGCTGAGGTTTGGAGAGGAGGTAGGCCCCTCAGGAAAGCATGCACCTCAATGTAGAGGCTCCCAGGCTGCAGGCCACAGCTGGACCTCACACGGGCCTGTGTGAGGTCTCAGGCCTGCAGGGGAGGTGTGAGAAGTCAGGAGTGAAGCTGCCAGTCCACACTGAGAAAAGGGACACAATTCAAGAAAAGCCACCTTCAGAAAGTTGGGTCCAAGATGGAAAAGACACTGAAGTTTAATCAGGAAAACAAGCCTCACATCTTCCATGAAGAGTGCAGCCCTGGACCAGTCTCCCAACAGTGGAGGGGGGGGGACGGGACAGCACAATGGTCCCACCACTTTCTGCCCTAGCCCCCTTCCTTTGGCCCAAAGCTCTGCCCTCTGGTTCCCCTCATGCCCACTGGCTGCCCGGGACCAGGAAGGGGTGGAGCCCTGAAAATTCAGGTCTAGGATTACTGGCTTCCTCGCCAATACCCCATAGTCTCTCCAACACGATTCCCACAAAGGTGGGTGATGCTGGGCAGGACACAGGCTCGCAGGACCTGGGGGCCCACCCTTGGGGTTGGACAGTGGATATGCTGTCCTCAGAAGCGAAGTTTAGACAGAAGGAAGCTCCACCAAGTGGGTGGTCCAACACCAGCACCCTGGGGCCCTGAGATAAGACTGCAGGGCACCAAGGCCTCATCGGCTCTTCACCAGGACCCTGTAGAGTGAGAAGCTGAGGATAGCAGCAACAGCAGCCCCAACAGCCCCCAGTGTCACCCGGAGCCAGAAGGAGGTGGTGTGCAGCTCCCCATGGACCAGGTACCTGCAGAAGGAGCCAGATGGAGACACCCTTAGGGTACTGCCCAGATGCTTGCTGCTGTAACCCCCTTACCCCTCATCTCCTGGAAACTCAGAGCTCCACAGAGCTGCTACCTGTCAGTGTCCAGCACAGCAGAACTCCCAGACCACAGGGCAACTGGTGAGACCAGGCCCCAGAGGACGCTGCCAGGGCATCAGCACCTGACCAAGGACAACCCTGCAACCCTGACTGACTCCAGTCCTGACACCACAGCTGTTCCACTCTCCTGGCAACAGGGACCATCACTACCCCGGGACAGGGACAGGCCTCCAACCACAGGGGCTGTGGTGCTGGTACCCACGGGAAGGCGGCCATGGTAGCAAGCCGGGTGAAGACAGCTGTGCTGGGTTCTCCTGGGCCAGCGCAGGAAAATGGGATAGGGGCGGGCAGCCGGTGCCTGCGGCAGAACTCAGCTGGAGACAAGCCAGGCAGTGAGACACCTTCAGACAGGTCAGCCTTGGAGGAGACGAAGAGGCAGGGGGTCTGCCCATCCATGTAATGGCGCTGAGGGGAAAGGGGCCACATGAAGCACAGTCCCAGAGCAGGCAAGGTGAGGGTGCTGGGGGACCCCACCCATAGTCGTGCTGCCCACAGAACGCCAGGATAGATGGGGGCTTGCCTTGTAGACGCTGATGCAGAGGGCAAAGGACTGGGGATCACTGCCATCAAACATCAAGCAGGCGACATCACAGGCAGCATCAGGCATGGTGGACAGCAGGCTGTCTGCATCCACCTCACATAGCTGGACAGAGGGTGGCCTCAGGGAGAGGCAGGGAGCTCAATTCCCCAGGCCACATCGGGACAGCACTGCTCTGGGATCTACTGCAGGGATCCCCCTACCCCAACACTCACTATCAGGTACTTCTCCTGCCCGTTGACCTGCACTGTGTTGATGGCATAGATGGCAGGTATCTTGTGAAGCTCCCCGGTGTCCTGATGCTGAGAAGAAAAGTACCTGAAGCTTGCTGGCCCTGACGCTCGCCAAAGCCCCTACCCGAGGCCCCAGATGGGAGCTCACCCAGCACACGACGATGCTTACCCCTAGGCCACGGCCGAGGAAGGCCTGTAGGAAGGCAGACTTGCCCACTCCACGCGCCCCCACCACCTTGCACAGAAGGACATTCCTTTGTGTTTGTCCCTTCTCTTGATCCAGCCTCTTCTCACGGGTGACTGTGAGAGGATGCAAAGGACAAACGAGAGTGAGCGGCTGCCAGGGAGGTGCTGGGTCAGGCTGTTTTGAGGGCGGGCGCCCACCTGTGATGGCATGGGTCTGGGAGTCCTGCTTGCAGAGGGTGGGGTAGCCCAGGTAGCCAAGGTGCTCCAGACAGCGCCAGACATCCAGGTAAGTCACCAGGCTGGGGCATAAACGGGGGGAAGCAGCATCACGTTGGGGCAGCATTGTTTGGCGAGTGGGGGCAGTTGAGGGCTGCGCTTACGTCCACTGGCAGAGGTACCCATGCAAGGGCAGCCGGCCTGCTTCGGTTCGGACCTCTTGCAGGAGCTGAGGGCCCCAGGGGGGCGCTGGGAACACACTAAACAGGTCCTGCAGCTCTGTCAGCGAGAGGGCACCATCATGGTCCTGCAGGCAGAGAGACTGTGGTCACAGTGGCTAGGGACCAGGATAGGAAACCAGGACAGGCAGCCCAGCAGCGTGACAGTGCCCTCACCTGGTCATGCTTCTCAAACACCTTCTGCACAAACTGGTAGCCAAAGTGGTTGAGCTCTGTGCTGCAGCCAGGTGGCACGTGGAGCCTGTGGGGTTGCAATCCATTTCCCACCATGCTCAGCACACCTTCCATCTGTGCAGTAGTACCCTCCCTACAAGTCTGACTGAATCCCAGAGGTTCCTCCACCTCTCTCCATGACTGAGCACCAAAGCAGAGAAACAGCAATGTGGCTGTGGCCAGGGGCCACCTGCTTGGCATAAGTCCCAGTCTGCCTGCACACAGCAGGGCACATCCTACACAGACCATCCTCTGCCTGAGCAAGGGCTCCAACCCCACCCTGGCACCATCTGACATTGGGAGCCCCATC